TATTTATATTTATATTTATATTTATATTTATATTTATTTTTATATTTATATTTATTTTATATATATTTATTATTTTTTATATATATATTTATTTATTTTTTATATATTTATATTTTTTATATATTTATTTATATATTGGCTTCTTCTGAGCTGTAGTTTCTTACAAGTAAAAAGTAAAGTAGTCTCTAAAAAAGGTAAACTAGTTTCAATATCTGTTTCACCATTTTAGATAAGCCTAATATCGCATATTTTTGCAGTTAAATCATTGTTTTCCTCTCTGTTGGAGCAATAAACTATATGAGGAGGAATAAAAATCACTCAACAAATTTATTGCTTGCTATGATCGAGTGGTTAACTAATTTAGGAACCCTCGTATATATTTACGAATACGTTCGCATTAGACTTTCCCAGAGATAGCTATTTCTTGATAAACAAAAAGCATTGAAAACTTATGACACTCTCTCAATCATATGAAATGGAGCACACAGCATTGATGCACGAATTTCTGATTAAATTGTCTATAAACGATATCAATGCAGTGATACATTCATATATACCGTTATTTATCTATATACACATATACTAATCGGCACTAATTGCTATATGTGTGTCGCAGTTGGTAATACCCATCAATTGAACATTGAACTGAAAGCTTACATTCTTATGTTTGTGCCACAGCCACTGATTACCATCATTGCCAATCGATCGCTCAGCTTTGAAGCATCCATCATCAGACCCATAAATATGCTGCCGTATGTGGTAAATATTATATCTGCATAGTAGCTCCTAGATATAACCTTCGAGTCCTGGAAGGAAAGTTGGAATAAAAGTTCGACTGGGAATATTTTTATTAGGTGACTCTCACTTACCATAATTCCTAGGGGGGGCATAAAGGCAATAAATAGAAATGCCAATGCGCCAACTGGTATGACATTGAATAAATAATACGAATAAAATACCATTGCAAGATATATGAAGCGATAAGCCTTGAAAAATACATTACAATTAGTATGAAATTCATGTGTAGTTATTTCGCAGTTTACCGGAGTCGGAGGAGAAAAGAAAATCGGAGCAAATATAAGTGGAATGAGAATAACCAAAACGCCTTTGTAGTGAAATGTACAAAACATTTTGCGATCATCCTGCTCTGGATATGGCAACGTACCCGGCTTGTAATCCTGCCTGACCATATAGACATTATCAAATGTTGAATGTGAATCTCGTTTTACTACTTACTCCATTCTTAGTTTCTATCCGACTAAAACTTATATATACATTAAATTTTTCTGGTTCCCGAAAGTAAAACAAACGAAACTAAGTTCTTGGGATCTTTTATTTTTAACAAAGTGAACTAATTGAAAAGTGACTTGAACGACTGTTAGAACAGAGTTACATAGATTGATTATTAATAGTAGTGCTTGAATGAAAATGTTTATGTAGGAAAATAAATGCTATACTCAGCTAAATAAAATATGATTTAAAAGAAAATAAATATATACATATATACAAAATAATTTGGTACTATTAAAGTTAAGTCTAATCAATTCAACTATACAATTATGTTTTAAATTCAGTTTAATTATTTCTTATTTGAAAGCAGCTCACTCGAAACTTTACCAGCTAGTTAACCATAGTTAGAACATTTATCAACGTGTGCATAAATATTTGTGTATACTAAATATTTCGCAGAATATGAAATGTATTTTTTTATTAGCCATTTCTTCGACGCCAGACTAAGAGCACCTCTTACCTCCCCCCTATGGCCCAGGGTGGATAGCTATGCATATAGCAGTACCTAACAAGCAATACATAAATACGCATCTATGTATATGTAAACATATTTGCATAAGCATAAATGCGCGTTACGCACCTTTCGAAATATCGAGCCAATCGCTGTATGAATTTTCATATACATATATAAATGGCGCTCACGTACTCTCCATGGAATCAGGCGAACGTCGGAGAAAAAGTGAAATGAATATAAAAATCAAAGTGATTTGGCTGGCAAAATATTTACTCTCCTGGCAAAGCATAAGATTGCCAGAGAGGGCTCTAAGTCCGCTATACAAAAGTTGATTGGCAACTCAAAATTGTATTTATTGGCTTGTTAATTGATTTCTGTACATTGCTTGAATTTCATGCTTAAATTTGAGTTACATGGAAACCGTTAGAGCTCCAACTATGAGAACATTTACGCTGATAACAGTTAAATTATGTATTACTGTTTCGCAGAATCATACAAAATGGTAAATTTTTCTGATACCAGGAACTCATTAACAAGAGGTATTTAGGTTAGAATGGCGGAGGCGTGGTAGATTCCAAGAAGCATATATGAGTCGATCTGGGCATATTCGTGTGTCCACTCGTATGAACACACAGCAGCTAGATATTTGCTCTGCATTTAATTTCCATTTCTTAATTATCGATAATAATCGATAGTCTAATTTGAGATTTCAAATTATATGTACACAGATTTTGAACATTATTATGATAAAATAGTTTATTTATATAGGCCCATGAAACCCACGTTGTACATTTCGATAATATAGGGTAGCCTAACCTATCATAACATCGCCAAGATTATGGGGTTATTTAGTTTCAACTAAATTTGTATATGTTAAGCTACAATAAACACTGCTAAAATTCTGTTTAATAATCTTTGCTAGGGGGATTTTGACGTGGACTCGTTTCCATTCGGGCAATTATTAATTTTGGTATTTATAGAACTATGCGTAACGCCAACGATAAATTCAGCTCAACACATCAAGCTGTCAGTTGACTACAACATTTTATAGCAACGTCTTATCAATCAATCGTTCTGAGTGCCATACGGACTTATCTCGCAGTTAATAAAACTTTGCTGTATTAGTTTTATCGTTCAGCGCGAGATAAAACCACTTAGTAATAATACATATTAAAAAAAAAGAAGAACTTGCTATTAAAAAGCCGTTTCAGTTGCTCTTGTGATTTTTTTGTGTTATCGTATTCGAAGTTGGAAGCCCAAGCATAATTATCTCGAGTTTGTGATTTCAATTTTTTTTTAGTGCTCGTAAACCGATAGCCGGCTGAGTGCTTATGATGTTGACACCGTCTAACTGGCTATCTGAGCCATCAGACCCGACCCTGAAGCGTTCAGCCGATTGGCAGGAGTGTTCAGTGTTTGAGCTATCTAATGCATGCTTATTGGCAAAGTTTTTTTCTTGCGCTTTTTTTTTGCCCTAATAGCTGAGGCAAGTTTTGTGGGTCAAGTCTTGAGCCAGCGACTGCACTTTGGCCAATAAAACTTTCGTCTGCACGGCCACGATGGATGCTGCAGCTACGAGTTACAAAGGCGGATGATGGGGCAATACCAAAGAGTTGGAACACGGGGCAACTTTGTTGGGCCACGTGGCGCGTAACAATGCGCAGTCGTTGGCAATTTTGCGTAACTGTTCGCCGTTCTGCTTCGTTACGAACGGCCCGAAGGGGGCGAGTGAGGTGGGGAGGGGCATACAAAAGCTTCAGCTAAACCCTGGCTAACTGCATAAACTTTGCTCAGCCAAAAGCGGATGTCACTGCAGATAATGTTGCATCAAATGTTTTAGGGGACGCACCTGTGTCTGTCTGTCCCTCGTCTGTCAGCGCTGTAGCACCTGTGCCCCTAGCACAGGTTCGTCTGCTACTTTGTTTGGGCCATCGGTATTGCTTTTTGCTTTTTTGTTCCTTTTTTTTGTGTCTGCTCCTCTCGCCCTCTCACGGCTCGCTCCTCTTGCAAAGTTTGCGGGCTCAACTTATTCTTAAACCAGCTGTGTTTTTTATTCTTTTTCTCTTCTTTTTTGGGGTTTTGCAGCTTTGCTACATTTCGGGTGAACTATTTTGGGCATGCGGCTGCTATAGATTTAATTTCGAATGCTTGTTTAACGCTCGAATTATTTTGCTGACTGCGAGGCATTGAGAAGCCCAGCTCAGCTTGGCTCAGTGCAGCCAAGCAGTTCGATATCATTTCTGTTTGCAATAATTGGGAAAATATTCAGTGGGAAACTTGACAAGTGCTTTTGTCAATTTTCGTTGTCTATTGCGTTGTGCAACACTGAATAAGAATGAACATCAGACAGATGGCAAAAGTGTGCGATGGTCTGCCTGACTTTTCATTAGTAGTTATCATTATGATTGAGATTAATGACGAATCACAACGAAGATGTTGATTACAGTTCTTATTGAGTGAGATAAAGA